TGCTCAACACATAATTATTCTCGAGTTATCGTTTTCTTGATATGTCTTACTTGATGGACAAAATATGATTTAGTTTTAAAAAGTTTAATAAGATCTAGGAAGTATTGACTTACATTTTAAATTTATCAAATATAATCTAATTTAATTCAATTATTACTATTATTTTTTTTGCGCAGTAAACGATCTCCCGTGTGATAACAACTACTAGTAGTTCATCACTGATGTACATTGTTGATAATATGGTCATAGCTGGCTAGCAAATATGACATGTAATAACAGTAGTCAACCTCAACCAAGCGCTGCTATTAGGCATGGAGACATATGCCACTTATGACCCAGTTTCCATATATGTATAATTGGCACCGCCCACTTCTTTGATAACCCCGCCTCCTTTGCCGATGACAGAAATATATATCTTGAAGCTGTAATACTTTTTGTAGCTTTAATTGCCGTATCAAAATTACCCATTTACATTTGAAATGGCTAATAATTATTTGGGACTTGCTTTTTAATGAAGACAGCGTAGTCGTTCCGCCAAGTACACAAACTGTAAGACATTAAGCCTCATGTTGAAATAATTTTATGCAGTTCTTGTACACAGAGTTATAGATTTATAACTGATGCAATGGCCATATAGCTTGGTGGAGGATTTCGATTTCTGGTCCCCTCTTGAAATTAGGATTTTTACTAACTAAATCATAGTTCTAAATCTTACAAAATGGCACCGCTTGCGATCTAAAATACCAAAAAGTTTCCCCACGCCAAGTGGAAGGGGGGCATCGCATCCGCGGACCGCCCCTTCAAATAATCCTGGATCCGCCCCTGTAGCTATTGGCAATTTCAAAGTACTTGGTATTTATCGACTACAAGCCCGAAATTAAAATATGAAGATAAAATTTGAAGAACACAATATTTCGTTTGCTTTAAGACGAGCAAACAAAAGAGATGAACACGAATTAACGCGAGGTGCATTTGTGGCATCTAAATTATGAGCAAAGAATAATCATATGTAAGCGGCCATAGACAAAATTCATCAAGATAGAGGGATGTAATATATTCAGCATAATCCAGTAAGAAAAGGGAAATTTTCACAACAACAAAACTAACTTGTCATGCACGCCTTTCTGCAAATTTTATGTTCTTTTTTAAGGAAAAATCTATCAAATTTAATAAATGAATTATTTAAAGCTGTTAATCAATTCTTCTTCATAATATGATTCATTCCCATTTTACACATTGAAAACGGCCCATTCTTCAAAGTTTTATTTTTTTTTTTTGTGTGTGTACAGGGTGTAGATTATAGCACAAACATTTTCCTTAATTACACACATTTAAATATATTGATCTACTCACGGCTTTGCCTCTCTTGCAGTTTTCGGATGACTTTTAACAAAATATTTTCTACCGGTAGGTAGACAGATAAGTAGATAATTTATTCCAACGTGAGCAGAAAGTACAAAGTATTTTCACAAGCTCAGAATATACATAATGTATATACAATCAGTGTAACAAAAATAAATTCATAATTATACTCAAGTTGGTCGAGGCAATATGGCCTTAATATATGTTAATAAAAAGATAACATAATGTTAGCATTAGGAAAATAAACAATTTACAGCATATCAAATGATACACATCGTGCATAGGCCAGCCTCTCCAAGGATTTTTCTACCGAGCTAAAATCTAACGCAGGATATTCCTTGCGTATAGAGCTTGCCACGGGACAAAAACACAAAACATGTTCTACTGTTTGGATTTCACCGGTACCACAGATCCATTTCCGATCCTCTAAGGTACATGTATGCTTGTCCCGGCCAGGTTGCTGGCAAATGGTGTCATTGACACGTTGACGTGCGAGTTTGGTGGACGGGTGAGGCGGAGAGACTGTCCTCTGTTTGCCCTAGCTATTGATTACGCAACGATTTCTTCTTAACAGCGCAACGAGACTGCGCACGCTATCACGTGACCCTTTGAATGTGGAGCTCGTCGCACAAACGCAATCTGCGTGCTTCAGTCGATTTTTAATGTCAAGCGGTATTTGTTCTCTAATGACAATTCTTGAAGAATATGACATTCATTAAACAACAGAAGAATTTATTCATTGTCCCTTGGGATGGGCTTTAATGGCGACGAGTAACTGTCTTGAAATTGATTGATACAAATTGGTGAAGTTGTGAGAGAGATATGGCACTGAATATAAAAAAAACGGTATGAAATAAATAAATAAATAAATAAATAAATAATAATAATAATAATAATAATGCATTTTACATATATTATAAATATTTTTGGGTCGTTCAATAATATGTGATAAGAAGATTTAACGCCATCTAAACCCTAATCATACCAGCATATTTTGCAACATATTCCTACTGGGTGGGGTCGTTTACATTATAATACATTGCTGGTGATATATATTATTATTCTATACTAAGTATTAAATTAGCTTGATGAAATAATAAACTTTTTTCAATTTAATTTTTACTTTGTTTATAGTCCTAGTATTGATGATATATCTAAACAAAACTAGCACTGTGCATCTTATCAGTCATCTTTAATTGATAAAAACAGTGACAAATCTGAAATATGTTTAAAAAAATAAAAAGCTTTCCCTGATTTCCAATATATTACTTTTTTTCTCTTTATTACCAAGTTATTTCTACATTTATCTATTATTGTGCCTCTGGTCAACTTATGGACCGTTTCGTCTTACACAAAACAATATAAAGAAAGATTTAGGAAATGTGACATTTTTATGACACTCCACTTTGCCTACTTTCCGTTGATTAACTACAATGGTCTCGGCCAAAGCGACAAGGAACTTACACTGTAAGGGTCGGTTTTTTCCCCTCTTAATTTTGGACCTAAGTGATACAGTTTGCTACATTTGATGGAAAGACTAATCAGGAGTATAAAAATAATTTAAAAAATCAAGGCCCCTTAAATCCCACCCTTCCAACCCCTATTCTCCGAGCACAGGTGCGCAAGTAGGCTGTTACAAAATAAGTGCATCTCATGCTATAATTTGGATACTATTTAAAAAGCCCCTGATATTTAAGAGTACCCCACCCCCACTCCCATTTCATCTCCGTGCTCCATTGCCGTTATAGACTATAATTATGGATTGGCATGAGGACCGTCATCCTATTCCCATGCATAAAATCAATATAACCAAACGTGCCAGCAAGTCGTTAATTTCAGCAGCGTCCTTGAAGCGTGAAGGCCTGGGTATAAAAGGACACGACTGCCAGTGGAATAGCAGTTCGCATTTTGACGACTCCAAAGGACGACTTCTCCAGCCGACATGAAGGTTCTTATCGCTCTCGTTGCTCTCGTGGCCGTTGCCTCCGCCGTCTACCCAAGGGTTAGATCCCACGTGAAGCCAGTTACCACCTACCACAACAAGGTCGTTGTTAACCGCGTAAGTCCATCTCTTTGCTTCTTATTTATCTATCTACGGTAAAAATGTGAAAACTTAGTCGGTCTTGAAAATTTTGTTGGAAGAAGATTCTTCACAGATACAGTTATTTATTTATTTTTTTTCATTTTCGGAATTGTGTCTAATTTAAAAATGGGCCTCTCGATTATTTTGAAAAGTTTGTCGCTTATATAGGCTATTCGTGTCGGATTCANCGCATAAATGATTACTAGAATGCTTATACGGGGACAGAATGCACGATTAACAGGTTTAGCTCGAGGGAAGTTACGATAGTAATAGTGAGAAAGTGGTATTTATCGTACATACATGTAGCTTTAAAAATATTTTGACATTTTAGTAATATCTATTTCACCTGAGATATGGCTATTGTTTTTGCGTTTATATGTTCCATGTTGAACTTCGTCACGTCTACGCTTATTTCAAATAGCTATTTGTCTTCAAAATATAATCTTCATAAGAAACTTAACTCAATAATGGGAAGGAAAAATCACAATACAGTGGTTAAAATTTCAATAATACATTTAAGAGATATTTAGAAAATGGAATGAAAAATATACAAATCTTTGAGGATTGACAAAGGGGAAAAAGTAGATATAGGCCCTAATATGTAGAAATGTCACATTTTTTTTGTTGTAATTGGACAGAGAGAGAGATTTCTGAATACTTATTTTTGATATAATGAATAGCAATTCAAATGAAATAGAACATCATGTCGAATGTACCAAAATAAACAAAGTTTGGATTTCTTATGATGTATTGATTTGCAGAAAATAGAATGAGGACCTTGGAGAAATTATTTTAGGAAGATTGAGTCAATGCCATTTGTGGTATCGTGTAATGTTTTGAAGATGATAGATGGAGTTTGACACTTTTGCACTTGTATAGAATTGTGATAAATGTTTACTTCAAAGAAAAAATGCCTGCCGTTTTTTATTCAAGTTAATTTGTTATTTAGAATGTATACACACAGTCATGGTTTACAGAAATGCAAATACTACTAATTGTGAAAGGGCCCACGCATGTTTGCGCTTGTGTATTTGCATGTATGTAGAATATACCGAATTTTTATTCTATGGTGGTCTGATAAGTATATAAATCGGCCTTGGTGAGGCCTACAGTGCTGTTTATAAAATAAAGAAGCAAATAGTTCACCTGTCGATTATACATTTGATTCTTTCTTTGCTTTTCATTTTAGAAATATCCCTGACTCTAACTGATTTCTTTCATTTGAAAATAATAGTCAAAAAATGTGTATGTGTGTGTGTGTGTGTGAGAGAGAGAGAGAGAGAGAGAGAGATGTGTGTGAGAAGGCGAGAGAGACAGAGAGACATTCAGAACGAGAGAGGAGGACTTGAATATCATTTGCATTCAAAACCCTGCACGTCAAATATGCCAGGGATGTGCCGTTGGTACCATTGTTCGTAACTGTGACCAAATGGGTGTCATGTTCATCATCATTAAATCATACTGCATAAGAACAAACACATCCTTAATCCTCTTACATTTTAATTAGGAAAAACCATGTATAAAAGACCCGCAGATTCTTAGGCAAAATCAGTTCTCATCTCTGACGACTCCAGCACCTCTACCTCGCCAACATGAAGGTTCTCATCGCTCTCGTTGCTCTCGTGGCCGTGGCCTCCGCCGTCTACCCAAAGGTTGCCACCCACGTCAAGCCTTTCACCACCTACAAGAACAAAGTTGTTGTGGACAAGGTGAGTGTATAACCCTGCTGGATTTAGGGTTTATCTTGCAGGGGAGGGGGGTTAACCAATTATTAAAGTCTATGTAAATAAAACATAAAGTATAGGTAACGGTTATTCTGATGAAATACGTTTCAGTGAAAATATCGTTTTTTATCATTATTTTTTAAATATCCTTATTATTATTATTATTTTTTTAATATTCTGATTGCGAATGTGAGGTAAAAATAAACAACATAATAACAAAATTAGGTATATTATTTACTGTTCGGCCTGCTATATAAACCTGATACAGTAAGGTATATTCTCCAGTAATAGTTCCATCTATCAACTGCTCGTAAAGTCGTCTGAATATTTTTGGGGCGAGATCTATCAGTATTTTCCCCTTTCAGGTCCCAACTGTTAACTACAGAAAGGTCCACGGCTACAGAACCGTCCAGGTCCCAACTGTCAATGTTGTCCCAGTCCACGGCTACAGAACCGTTGAGAACGTCGTCCCAGTCCCAGTGAGAGGATACACCGTCCAGCGTACCGTTGTTGGTGCTGGTTTAGGTGCTGGTTATGGTTACGATGCCGGCTATGGCTACGATGCTGGATACGGTTACAACGCCGGATACGGCTACGGTGCTGGATATGGTGCCGGATACGGATACAACGCTGGTTACGGCAAATATTAAACTCTATCTGGTATGTTGGAAAAAATATTTTGTTACTGTTTCCATTCTCAGAAAAATAGAATAAAATAAATAGATAAACAAACAAATAAATAATAAATAAATGAATGAACAAATAGGTAAATGAAATAATCCATTCATATTCTTTCTTTACAATCCCTGCAAAACTGGAAACTATAATAGATTCACCAGTGTTTCCCCCATTCTTTTTAAAGTAGATGTTTAACTTGATAAATAGCCAAGTCGCTCTAATGTTTTTTTTTCTTCTTTTTTCTTTGCAGATGTAATTCACACGCTCCACTCAGTGGTACTCAAAGGAAGCCTTTTCACCATTTTCATATATTTTTTTGATATTTCTGTTCATCATTTCTCTGAAGCAATAAATATGAATTTGCTCAACACATAATTATTCTCGAGTTATCATTTTCTTGATATCTCTTACTTGATGGACAAAATATGATTTAGTTTTAAAAAGTTTAATAAGATCTAGGAAGTATTGACTTACATTTAAAATTTATCAAATATAATCTAATTTAATTCAATTATTACTATTATTTTTTTTGCGCAGTAAACGATCTCCCGTGTGATAACAACTACTAGTAGTTCATCACTGATGTACATTGTTGATAATATGGTCATAGCTGGCTAGTAAATATGACATGTAATAACAGTAGTCAACCAAGCGCTGCTATTAGGCATGGGGACATATGCCACCCATGACCCAGTTTCCATATATGTATAATTGGTCCCACCCACTTCTTTGATAACCCCGCCTCCTTCGCCGGTGACAGAAATACAGTATATATCTGTAATACTTTTTGTAGCTTTGATTGCCGTATCAAAGTCCCCCATGTACATTTGAAATGGCTAATAATTATTTGGGGCTTGCTTTTTAATGAAGACAGCGTAGTCGTTCCTCCAAGTACACAAACTGTAAGACTTTAATGGGATAATAACCCTTCGTATGAGATCTTTATTTCACAATAAAAACATTGTAAACAACTCATAGAAATATAATATATTCTGTTTTACCACAAAAACTGCAGTTATAGATATAATTCTGATATCTAAGTTTGTCATCAGACCAAGTGACCTCCATAGATGGTTATACTCTGTAATAATCTCTTAAGAGATTATAACATAAAACCAAACTTTTTAGAAAAAAACCAGGGACTAACTTTGAATGTAGAAATGGATTCGTTAACCATTGGTAAGTATGGGAAAATTGTTGTTTACTCCGGGAAAAGTCATTTTTTTGCCAAAACGAAGAGTTATTATTCCTTTAAGCCACACGTTGAAATGAATTTATGCAGTTCTTGTACACAGAATTATAGATTTATAACTGATGCAATGGCCATATAGCTCAGGGCGGATTTAGAGGGGGGTCAGGGGGGTCCTGACACCCCCCCCTCGGTAAATCATAGTTCTAAATCGTACAAAATGAAACCGTTTGCCCTCTAAAATACCAAAAATTTTCCCAAGTGTTGGGGGGGCATCGCATCAGCGGAACTCCCCTACAAATAAACCTGGATCCCCCCTGTAGCTATTGGCAATTTCAAAGTACTATGTATTTGTCGAATACAAGCCCGAAATTAAAATATTAAGATAAAATTTGAAGAACACAATATTTCGCTTGCTTTAAGACGAGCGAACAAAAGAGGTGAACACTAGTGAACACGAGGTGCATATGTGGCATCTAAATTATGAGCAAAGAATAATCATATATAAGCGGCGATAGGCAAAATTCATCACGATAGAAGACTGTAGTATATTCAGCATAATCCAGTAAGAAAAAGGGAAATTTTCGCAACAACAAAACTAACTTGTCATGCTCGCCTTCCTGCAAATTTTGTGTTCTTTCTTAAAGACAAATCTATCAAAATTTTATTAAAATAAATGAATTATTTAAAGCTGTTAATCAATTCTTCTTCCTAATTCGATTCATACCCATTTTACACTTTTGAAACCGCCCGTTCTTCAAAGTTTTTTTTTTTTTTTTTTTTTTTTTTGTATAGGGTGTAGATTATAGCACAAACATTTTCCTTAATTACACACATTTAAATATATTGATCTGCTCACGGCTTTGTCTCTCTTGCAGTTTTCGGATGACTTTTAGAGAAAAATTTTCTACCAGTAGGTAGATAGATAGACAATTTATTCAGAAAGTACAAAGTATTTTTACAAGCTCAGTGTAACAAAAATAAATTCATAATTATACTCAAGTTGGTCGAGTCAATATGGCCTTAAGATATGTTAATAAAAACGGCAACACATGTTACCACTAGGAAATAAACAGTTTACAGCATATATCAAATGACATACATCGTGGGTAGGCCTGCCTCTCCAAGGATTTTTCTACCGAACTAAAATCTAACGCAGGATATTCCTTGCGTATAGAGCTTGCCACGGGACAAAAACACAAAACATGTTCTACTGTTTGGATTTCACCGGTACCACAGATCCATTTCCGATCCTCTAAGGTACATGATTGCTTGTCCCGGCCAGGTTGCTGGCAAATGGTGTCATTGACACGTTGACGTGCGAGTTTGGTGGACGGGTGAGGCGGAGAGACTGTCCTCTGTTTGCCCTAGCTATTGATTACGCAACGATTTCTTCTTAACAGCGCAACGAGACTGCGCACGCTATCACGTGACCCTTTGAATGTAGATCTCGTCTCACAAACGCAATCTGCGTGCTTCAGTCGATTCTTAATGTCAAGCGGTATTTGTTCCCTAATGACAATTCATAAAGAATATGACATTCATTAAATAACAAAAGAATTTATTCATTGTCCCTTGGGATGGGTTTTAATGGCGACGAGTAACTGTCTTGAAATTGATTGATACAAATTGGCGAAATTCCGAGAGAGATATGGCACTGAATATAAAAAAACGGTATGAAAAAAAAAATAATAATATTATAATTTTAGATATATTATAAATATTTTTCAGTAATAAGTGATAAGAAGATTTAACGCCATCTAAACCCTAATCATACCAGCATATTTTGTAACATATTCCTACTGGGTGGGGGCGTTTATAATACACATTGCTGGTGAGATATATTATTGTTCTATACTAAGTATTTTCAGACATAAATTAGCTCGATGAAATAATATACTTTTTTCAAATTAATTATTACTTTGTTTATAGTCCTAGTTTTGATGATATATCTAAACAAAACTAGCACTGTGCATCTCTATCAGTCACCTTTAATTGATAAAAACAGTGACAAAGCTGCAATATGTTTTAAAAAATAAAAAGCTTTCGCTGATTTCCAATGTTTTACTTTTTTCTCTTTATTACCAAGTTATTTCTACATTTATCTATTATTATGCATCTGGTCAACTTACTGACCGTTTCGTCTTAAACAAAACAATATAAAGAAAGGTTTAGGAAATGTGGCATTTTTATGACTCTCCACTTTGTCTACTTTCCGTTGATTAAATACATGTACAATGGTCTCGGCCAAAGCGACAAGGAACTTACACTGTAAGGGTCGGTGCTTTCCCTCTTAATTTTGGACCTAAGTGATACAGTTTGTTTCATTTGATGGAAAGACTAATCAGGATTATTAAAATAATTTAAAAAATCAAGGCCCCTTAAATCCCACCCTTCCAACCACTATTCTCTGAGCACAGGTGCGCTAGTAGGCTGTTTCAAAATAAGTGCATCGCATGCTTTAATTTGGATACCCCTGATATATGAGAGTACCCCACCCCAATTCCCATTTCATCTCCGTGCTCCATTGCCGTTATATAAACCATAATTATGGATTGGCATGAGGAGCGTCATCATTTTCCCATGCATAAAATCAATATAACCAAACGTGCCAGCAAGTCGTTAATTTCAGAAGCGTCCTTGAAGCGTGAAGGTGTGGGTATAAAAGGACGCGACTGCCAGTGGAATAGCAGTTCGCATTTTGACGACTCCAAAGGACGACTTCTCCAGCCGACATGAAGGTTCTCATCGCTCTCGTTGCCCTCGTGGCCGTTGCCTCCGCCGTCTACCCAAGGGTTAGGTCCCACGTGAAGCCAGTTACCACCTACCACAACAAGGTCGTTGTGAACCGCGTAAGTCCATCTCTTTGCTTCTTATTTATCTATCTACGGTAAAAATGTGAAAACTTAGTCGGTCTTGAAAATTTTGTTGGAAGAAGATTCTTCACAGATACAGTTATTTATTTTTTTTTTCATTTTCGGAATTGTGTCTAATTTAAAAATGGGCCTCTCGATTATTTTGAAAAGTTTGTCGTTTATATAGGCTATTCGTGTCGGATTTATTCATTTTATAATATTGATTAATTTTTAAGTGACGAAATTTTCAAGTTTTTGCTGAATTTCTATATTGCAACCACATTCTTTTCAAAGAAATCGTTTGGTAATTTTACACAAAAAAGATAATAATAAAGAACTGAACAAAAGACGAACAGCAATAGCATAAAATTTGTTCATTTTACCGGTGTTGTTTATACGCCAATTCAAACTTTGTTCGCTCTTATCGATAAGAGCACTTAATGAGCATTTATATAAAGGACTAGTCGGAGAATCAAATGATAGGTTTTCAAAGTTTTGTATTATAAATCTTATCTTAATCTTAAGACTAACCCCCAGGGCCGCTTTCAGAAAAGAGGACTAACTAGTCCGAGGGTCAAATATGGCTGACCCGCTTGAATACTTCCCCACCGGGAATCAATTAGCGGCAAGCTTTTTAGAGGGTCGCCATATTTGACCCGCTGACTAGTTATGTCCACTGTTCTGAATGCGACCTTTCTTTCTCCATCTTAAACCCTAATTTATCTCAATCCGTTTATCCGCCAGGTTCCAACTGTTGACTACAGAAAGGTCCACGGCTACAGAACCGTCCAGGTCCCAACCGTCGACTACGTCCCAGTCCGCGGCTACAGAACCGTCAGCAACGTCGTCTCTGTCCCAACTACAAGATACGCCGTCCGCCGCACCGTCGTTGACGGATATGGCTACGGTGCCGGATATGGCTACCGCGCTGGCTATGATGCCGGATACAACGGATATGGCTACGACAGTTACGGCAAATATTAAGCTGTGATTTGTTGATTGTTCACTGTTTTATGTTGCCCCGCAAATGTCAATAAATGCGAAGTGGCCTTTAAAATTGTAAACAACTTTGTCGTTTTTGTTGAGAGAAAGAGAGAGAGAGAGAGAGAAGTACTGAAATACTGAAATGGTGGATGAAATATTAAACCCCCGTCATGCCGAGTGTTCCATTTTAACAGATGCTGTATTCCATTAGCAAATTGAGGATATACCCCCGAGTGTTAAATTACATCAGAATGACCAAAGTTCAGGGTCATGGCCGCTGAATTTGGCTGAAAAATATTTAAAACATAAAAGTCGAGACTGTCAGTTTTTATACTTTGAAAGATAAATATAATTTGCGATTTTCCCACTACATGTAGCACTCCCAGTCAGACTCTGGTGTCACAAGGGCAGGAGTAAGAGCGGTTATTTCTCACTTCACGGGTATACGCACATTTCATAGATATATACGAGCATATGCATGTGCTTAATTTGTTGTCCTCATATGTAGACCTGGTGTGATTGCACACACACACACACACACACACACACACACACCAGTAAAAGTAGTGAGCGATTGCGCGGAGGTGTTGTAAATTGGCACACCTAACACATTCAATTCTCGCAGGATATTGAAAGATAAAGTTAACAGGCCCGTAGCCAGGGGGGAGGGGTACGGAGGTTTCGAAAGATCCGCCCCTTTTGCTGGAAAAGGTCCACTCTGGGTAAAATTTGATCTAGGTACATGAAGTTCTTATGGGAAAAGGTCCACTTTTTCAGAAAAAGAACCCCCCTTTTGAAATTGCTGCCTACGAGCCTGGTTAATTTATTGATAACACAAGAAGATAAAAAGTGTACAGTTACACGTAAATGGATATTAAAGGGATCGTATCTCGATGAAAGTTTGATGTCTTCGATGTCTTCACCTGCTGATTCATCAATAATTGAATGCTTGGGTCTTCTTCCTTCTTTCATTCTTCTCTTTTAATTAATCAATTACTTATTTATTGTTTTTTGGGAGGGTGGGGGAGGGTGGGGTAAAAACACCAAAATGCTCATTTGCATAAACTGCCCTTTGTGTCCTTAATACCTAATCCAGTCTGAACCTAAAATTCTATTGAGCCACTTTTAAACTCACTACAAAAGTATCATCGATGTACCTTTACTTACATATCCAATTAAGTCACATTTAATTTTGTAGATCGCTCCCGTCCACAAACTTTTAGCCTTTTGTTAGATCATCAGATAAACGAAGCAGGTGGCAGGATGCCCAGTAGCAAAGGTACACTTAATCGGCTTTAATCTTACTCGTACATCTAAGTAAATTCAACTGCGCATGTGTATCACTGGAAGATGCGTTTCGCATCGTTGATCACGGGACCAAACACACGCGAGACGTGTGACGTGGCTTGAATGTTATGCGATCAGACCGTAGTTATGCGATCAGACTGTACTTTTAAGATTGTCTTGGAGGTCTTTTGAATTGAACATTGCTTTTAGGGGGGGGGGGGGATTTTTTTTTCAAATAAAATTATTTTTGTGTGATTGCATTACAGGATAGAATTATAGAATACCAAAAATTGTATTTTTATGAACGAAATATGAGGACAGTACCAGTAGAAGTAGGCCTACTAGAGTTAAAGAAAGGTTATGATTAAAAAAAAATCAAATTTTAATCTTGCTAAATTATCGATTAACACGTTTTATTCATTGATTGAGATCGTATATTACAGTTACGATGGTAAATATTTTTAAAAAAAGGTATTAAGAAAACATGAAAAGACTATGCAATTTACTTTCGACGAACTGAGCTCGGTGACGATCTGAGAGCGTGACGGAGGACGTCCTAGTTGCCGCTTTTGCACACAATACACAGGTATTTACGAAGGGACTGTCTTCACGTGCGGAGGGATCCTTGTTACATATAGGTGGCTGGCCTACTAAATACCTCAGTTATATATATACATACTGGGGCAATATATTCGTACCGAGGCTAGGCGCATATGCGTCCCTGGTGATGATGAAGATCTATTCTATACGTTGTACTCACATAAGTACATGTAATTGCATTGTAATGACATGCAAAATGTACCATTAATAACTTTATCTACCAGTATATGCCACCCACACTCTCTGGCGGGGAGTGAGTAGACCGAAACGGGTCGAACAACGTGAACTTAGTACATTCATGGACACCTGTGGTGGAGAAATGTCATTCTTTTAAGTGAACCAGTGCTTGATACACCACGCGGCTTCAAGGTAAGTCACGTCGACCTTATGTTACAATATAAGGCTATCAGAAGCACGTGAAAACTTTGAATAAAATGGCTCCACTGGTAGAGTAGAATTAAGTAATATAATTAATTAACAAAGAAGAGTTGTGGGGTTTTCATGGTATATAGGACTTAGTTCTCAATCTTGATTCTCGCGATTCTACATGTACTCCCGAACAAAAACATATAGCTATAATATGGCCTAGCCTCAAGTATATGCCCTGTAATATACAAGTAAGTAGTAGACCCCCGCGCTATTAAAAAGGAGCACTGGTTTTCATGTCGAACTTTAAATAGTGTCATATTTATCTCAGCTTTGACATTCTGCTACACTCTGCTAGGTTGGCAAAGCAAGGTTCTCTTATAAAACTTAAACGTTTTTAATGCTACACTGATAATGGTAGCCCGTTTCGCGAAAGGACTTGCAGGGAAGCCCAGTGTTTGTATACTAAGACCCCTAATATTCTTGTGTGCGAGATAATACACTGTCACCCCTAGCGTTACATGCCAGCACATCTCCAGCGACAGGTGTCCAAGGCATTAAATATAGCGCTAGAGGGTGGCAGTGTATTATCTGACATACATGTAGAAGGTGCATTTCAACGAAAAACGCCCCTAAAAACGAAAATACTGAATAAAGCGTATATCACCACGGTTACCTAGCATCCTAACATCTCTTCACGTATGAAGGAACTAGCTTGTATCTGCTTATAACCCACAGAAAAGATCCGGGTTAAGAAGAGACCCGGGTTTGGGTTAAAAATGAAAAAAGGAATTGCAGCAACCTAAATATCCTCAGGTAAACTGAATAAATTTCAGCACCATACCTTCTAAATTATCATGGCAAGTTATTTTTAGACGAAGGCACACTGGTTGCTTCTCGATTTTGCTTACAGAGGGGAGGGGGGCAGATTAATATGAGACAGTAGAAGATGACAATTCGACTGTAATCTTTAAAGCAAAGCGATGAGGAGTTGCTTGCATATGTCACTTTGTCTCGATCTGGATGTTATTCCGGGTTTTGATGTTGGAGGGTCACTTGCCCATTATGAACCCCTGGAGGCGTGAAATAGCTTCTGGATCCATTTGTTTTGGAATACCTATCCCCCTAGCCTCAATTCAGTATATGCTATCTGATACGTTTATTTTACAAATCGGTGATTAATAAGTACCTAGGTATGGGTAAGTCAACATTGGGTCTAAAATATGATGAATATCTCGTGCGTGGTTTATTGTAATTGGCATTAATAGCCACTGATATGATATTATAATGTCGCCCCCTGCCCCTGATTTCAGCATCGCACACAAAAATGTCTTCAAGATGAGTGTGATAAGCGAGCCATGAACACTGGTACTGTAGAATCAGGAATTTGCTAAAGGAGGCCACAAGGATAAAAAATTGTGACTCGCTCCGCTCGTCAAATATAAAGCAGTATTCGAGGATAGTAATTTGAGTTACGTAGGACAAAGGGATTTAAAAAATTGCTTGTTTTTTTTTGTTCTTTCCTTTCTACACGTCTGACAGGAGGGGGAATAGGTGTCCTTCTAAACCTAGGAATAGGGGGGAGGCACCCAATCAATCTTTAACCCCAAAACGTTCGATCCTGTCATCGCTGTCTGTCCCAGTGAGATGCATGATAAAGAAAAAAAATATGAAAATGAGATAAATATGGTATTTTTGGAGTCTAAAGTGCTATTGTGTGTAAAGTGCTAAAGTCTAAACATCAATATTATGGGTTTATGGGTATTATGGGTCTTTTATATATATATATATATATATATATATATATATATATATATATATATATATATATATATATATATATATATATATATGTAGCCGTATGAATTTATTTTCTTCACTGGTGTTCGTCTTTTGTTTTGTCACTTGGGCGTCATCTTTCCCGATATTTATAAGCGACGAAAGGCGGGAAAGATGACCAATGGGAATGAGAAAGTAAGATGACGCCCACGTGATAAAACAAAAGACGAACACCAGTGAAGAAAATACATTCATACGGCTACATATATATTTTTTTTTTCAAAATACCTAAACTGCCGTTTGAGATTATTGATAATACCAGCCAACACAATACCAAGTTATTTATATATTTTTATAAATTGTCTTACATGTCACCCCCCCCCCCTCTGTCCTGTTTATGCCGAGCAAAATCTGCGACCTTCCTATTCAAATTCCGAAAAACCGGTATTCGTGCCTACATGATATGATATGAAAGATGGGGAGAGATATGGGTGAATAAATATCTATCCCGATGGTAGGGTCGTTTAGTGGAGATACCTTTATTGTAGGTTGAACGGATGAGAGATATTGTTGTGAGGGTTAACATTGTGCGCGCCACTTAACATACAAAGAGGCGTGAGGTGTTCTTCAGTTACGACTCTCTTGAACCCATTTCGATGACCGGCGTATTTTCTGTGTCCTTAGTGCAACCAAGAAACTGGCATCGCTGAGGTCGTAGAAAGGAGGCACAGGCAAAGCTTTGGTTGCAAAATGAATGCTCAATGATCGGCCAGTTGTCGGCACGTAATTTTTTTTTACTCTCAAACTGGACCGTACTACGGGACACAGAAAAAAAACGCCGTCCAGTGTAAAGGGGGTTTAGTTAGGTCCGTGGGCAACCGAACCCATTAAGTGTGGCAGCCATAAGCAAAAAGTAAATGGCAAACGAAACATCTAAATGACATCTTGGCGTTTGACTTTAAATTTTTTGTCAGGGTTAATGCATGGCAGACTACATTCCTTGTAAAAGATTTTGATGTTTGATAAACGTGGAAATAGGGATTATTAAATGAGAAGAGTGAAATGAAGTGATAATTTTAGCTCCTTTCGTTGCCTTTAACGACCAATTTTTCCTTTAAATTTACATGCTTTTATGTTTTAAGCGTGTCACATATATTTTATACATGTATGGATAACTAGCTCTGTCTATACATCATGATTACAAAACGTGAAAAGTCAAGGAATGCATGGCTTATCAGTTGGCTTTTGCTTACTAAAAAAAAAACAGTAAGTTATAAAGCAAATGTTCAAAGTTAAAGACCGTAAGGTAACTTTTTTTTCTCTTTTACGCGTGGGTATCTTTTTCTTTTGAGCAAAAATTCCACGAATAAACCCTTTTGGACTATTTCATCAACGGAATACTTTCATTTCACATAGGAATGCATTTAGCGATTGCACTTGTACAGGAATGGAATTTAGTCCGTAGTCACTAAGAGAAAAGTGAGACGGAAATTAAAGAAATTAATTTCCCGTAATTTACCGTTTTATTTATCCGATTTCACGGTTCATAAAAGGCTGGTGTTATTAATGGTCGGACTTCGTGTGAACGCTCATGGCACTGGATGTGTGTGTGTGTGTGTGTGTGTGTGTGTGTGTGTGTGTGTGTGTGTGTGCTGGTGAGGGAGGGATGTGGGCGGGGGGGGAGGCGATATCTTGGATATGACAAGGGGAGGTACAGGTAGACCAGTGTAATAGAAAAGCAAGGCAACTTAAAGCTGGTTGAAAACATTACAGTAGTCAAATGATATCACAAAATTCTTTTAAATGGCTTTCTTCAGATTTTATTGACTTTCAGTGCAGTTTCTCAGTCCGATAGCTTACAAACGAGCAATTTCGTTGAAAATCTCACATATTCATCTACAGGTATATACTTCTTAAAATACTTCTTAACAACAAGGGTGAATTTTGGTTCGTTAGATATGAAGATATATGCGTAAAACCAATAAAGATATCTCGTCAATCTTGAAAGATGAAAAAAAAACGGCGATAAACTTTGAGTTGCAAGTATACAATCAATACAATAGTAAACACAATAGCTGACGGATTTACCTGTTCTGTCAGATAGATGATTTTCTGCAAAATAAGATAAATTTTCATATCATAAACACACAAACCCTACCCCACCCAAGGATTCTCTCCTTTCTTCTTCACCATAACTTCCCATAAACTTTCTGTACGTCTCACAAGGCCTCTTATATCATGCTTAAACATGCTCTATGTATTGTGGAACTTATTTGTATTATATGGATGCCATTTATCTTATAAAGTTACCACAAAGCTGCTAGAAACGCACTCGAAACAAGCCACGCATTATGTACTGCCATATTAATGAGAGATGGTTACATATAGTGTATCTATTAATGAGAGCTGCTAAAACCACAACTCGTAAATATATAATATGTATCCCGGGTCAAATATTACTATTGAATACCTGTAGAATTCTAAATACACGTGCCCCAATATATACATAATCAGTGATGTCATTATAATATTGTCGGTTCTTCCTTTGGTATGGGATAATACAAAGTGGCCAAAAGATGAAATATAACGATGGATTTTGTTTATAGAAATGTGCATTATTGTTTTCTATTTATATTGTCATATTGTTTTCTTTTTAATTTGTAGTATTTTAGGAATAATTTATTGTTTTATAATTTATAGTTTATTGTCAATTTTCTTTTAAACATTTTTTGTACAACTAAAACCTTAGGGTTGCAATTTTACCTAATAAATTATTATTTTTATTATTATTATTATTATTATTATTATTATTATTATTATTATTATTATTGTCATTGTCTTTCAGGTATTGTTAAGATGCAAATGGGTGTCTTCTATACAGCGGCAAAGCAAAAACGAACGGGGAATTCAATGTCACACTGTGTCCAGGATATAAAGTTACGATCTAAAGGATACACGGCTATCATGTGAACTCGGAATTGGGTTTTAAGTTGAAAAGGGAATTGAAGATTGTGCACACGTTACTCGTTAAGGTTTGGCGTATTGGGCAATGCCCAGTTTTGGACGAGCGCACAAGATTATCACACTCTCTCACCAACCTCGAGCGGATATTAAACGATTCGGAGTCTTGACATTAATTAATACATTGTGGGTGTTAACAGTTCCAGGCTATCTTCATTGAAATGTTTTATTTGGATATCGATTTATGACGCAACTAGCGATATATGGAATTCAACCTTTGGGGATATTTAGACGAAAAAGGAGTTTTGCTTATCACATGCTCGTTGTGGACGCGAAAAACGTGATGTCTGTTGCTCAAGAATTTAGAAATGTTCTAATAATCAAACGAGGCTCTCTAAACAAATAACAAACCAGGCGGTTTGGTACCCCACAAAGAAGACAGAAGACGGGAATGGGGCAATACATTTTCAGTAAGGAGTGATACAACATCAGCGGAACGCAGCATTATTCGAACTCATACCATAACACTAGCGCCCACCAAATATGAAGGCTATCGAGAATCTTTGTGCCAACTTCATGCGGGTCAAGCGTCTGGACCACGACCTGCTGACCACGCCTCTCTTGCGCTGTCTGTCCACTATGGAGCTCTATTTCTTCGGTTTGGGATGCATGATGGCAGTAGGAGTGTACGTTCTCAACGGCAGTATTGTGAGCTACGACGCCGGACCCGCCGCTTGTGTGTCGTTCCTCATTGCGGGAGTGGGTAAGCGATCTCTTGTTAAGATAAACCCTATCAACATAACTGTATATTTAAATAGTAAATTTCACTTTCATCAAGTGTTGATATGAAACGAGAAAAATATTAAGAAGTTTTTGAGCAGACGGATACTCCATTCATCCATTGATATTTTATCCCTCCGTCTGTCCCTCGTTCCCTTTTGCACTCATTCATTCTTCTATCCATCTCTTCCAGTTGTCTTTTTATTAAATAATAAGCCCAATTTTTCATCTAGTCGTCCATCCGTTCTCTCGCTTTATAAATACACTCGACCCAAAAAGTTCGGGAAAACGTTGTTTTGAATAATTATAAAATAATATGAGCTAAGGTAAATATTTTAACCAAATATTGTTGGATAATGTACCCACCGTTCTTTACTTTTTTATATACACTGAATATTTTCCCACTACATTACATTACATAGTTTTTTAATTATTGAAAAACAATTTCCTGTTTCCGAACGTTTCCGAAAGTGTTTGTTGATCAATATGTTTTTTTTTTCAGCGGCCTCTATGTCTGCCCTGTGCTATGCAGAGTTCGCAGCCCGTATTCCTAAGGCAGGCTCCGCCTACATTTACTGCTATACGACAATAGGGGAATTCTGGGCGTTCATCGTGGGCTGGAACATCATCCTCGAGTACCTCCTGGGCGTGGCCGTCCTCGCACGTGGCTGGAGCAGCGTCATACGTCACTTCATATGGGGTTCAAATGACGTCTGGAAGTTCATGTACTCTTCGCCAGACCTTTCCAAGTCCAAAGTGTTCCTGACACATCCGGATTATTTCGCCTTTGGAGTCATTCTCCTTACGGCCCTCGTTCTGGTCAGTGGCGCCAAACCTTCCATTAGGTTGAGCAGCATGATGACTGCTGTGAATTTAAGCATCATCTTATTCACGACGATACTATCGTACTGTTATGGCGATATAAAGAATCTTACGCAGTCTCGTGATGGGCTGCCATACTTGCCTAAAGGTGTAGAAGGAGTCCTAAACGGCGCCGCCAAAGCATTCTTTGCTTACATAGGATTTGACTGTATTGCTATAGCGGCTGAGGAGGCTAAAAACCCAGCGTACTCGGTTCCCCGGGCAATTCTGGCAGCCCTAGGGACCATACTGCTCGTCTACTTTGGGACGTCTACTGCCTTGGCTTCACTACTGCCCTATAAACTTATAGACCCGGCGTCCGCGTTCCCGGCTGCTCTGGCCGTAAATGGACTGCCTTGGGCAAGGTGAGCTTCAACAGAGAAAATTAATTTTAAGTAATTTAGACCGGTGATGATACTTTAAAGGCATACAATGTATGGTTTGGAATATGATATGCCCAGCGACTGAGCAGAAAGCATTGAAATTTCCTGAATATTTTAACTTTGCTACGCAAATATCTGGCGATGAATTTGTCCCTTTAAATAAATGATTTCTTTGCTTTTGCTAACGTCAGTGAATATCCTTAGCTTATTTCAAGGCAATTATAATCAAGCTACAAAAGATCGATGTTTGAAGCACTTATCAGGAATTTCTAAAAACGCACAAAACGCATTACTTTTTTGGCGAAAGCAAGATTTCCCTGAAATTTCGGTAGTCAGCATAATAAGTTGTCCTTGTGATATACTTTTTGTGCATAATCTTTCATTTATTGTCATTTTGATTCATACCATTTTCACCATGTTTTTACTTTCCATTTTGATAGATACATGGTGTTGGTCGGCTCGCTGTTTGGCCTCTCGACCGCCATATCAGGACAGATGTTCTCATTGCCTCGTGTTATCTTCGCCATGGCATGCGATGGCCTATTCTTCAAGGTTTTCCGGCGAGTGGGCACGTGGGCGCATATTCCCTCATTGGCGCTACTGGCAAGCATACCGGTTCCCGCCATTTTGGCCTTAGTCATGGAGACCGAGACGCTTATCCACTTCCTGTCTCTAGGGACGCTGATTGCGTACACTTCCGTTTCCGCCAGTGTTCTCTTATTTCGATATCAGCCTCTCTCTGTTGCCGACGTTGCCACGCTACAAGATTACGGATTGCTGAGTCCCAAAAGGCCATCTAGTTCTGGTACCCGGAAGCAAAAGACTGCCCGTTTACGAGGGGAGGATGAGCACCAGTCTTCGTTGCTTGAGCCAGGACACGAAGCTACAATTCACAAGGACACTAAGCCCGAACACGTGGTAAGTCATTTGGACGGAGCGATCAAAGACGACGCTGTGTCGGACACGGACACCGCGATGTCCAGTGAAACCGCTTCCACCGTTACCACCGTAGAGTTAAACAGTGTTAAGGACACCAAGGAGGTCCCGAGGGAAGACGACAAAGAGACATTAAAATGGGATTATGACACTCAGGAACCAGAGACCGACCAAGATGACCCCTGTGAGGTCCCGAGAAAAGCAGACGTTGCCTCATCGGAGGCAACAACCGATAAACCACGCCGGAAGCCCAAAAAACCTTTAGACAGTTTAAAACATATTGGAGCTCTTAGGTCCAAATTTACTAAGATCCCGATACTGAAGTCTTGCAAACCAGGACTGGCGGTGGTTTGCGCTGTCATACTTCATTTGGTGTTCTCCGGAAGCCTAGCAGGGACCCTGCTGTATATGAGGGATGACCAGTGGCGCTATGATTGGATGGCGATCCTGATGATTGCCGTCTCTGTGCTCGGGATCATTTCCTGTCACGTGACCATGGTCGTGCACAGGAGGAACGATAAATTCAAGACATTCAAGGTACGATTAATTACCGATTTATTACCGTTTAGCGAGAGACGCTTTATTCCAGAAATTCAAGTTAAGTTTAAATACTGTTTAAGAGGAACGATAAATTCAAGACCTTCAAAATAAGATTTTAATTGAAAATTACTCTTTAGCGTTCAGTGAGGAACGATTAATTCAATTATTTCAAGGTAAGATTAATAACTGCTTGTTGTTTGAAATTTGAAGGCCACGAGGAACTCTCTGTCCTCATGCATGCATGTGGGTGGAAGTCCATTCATCCATCCACCCATCCATCCATCTATTTATCTATACCAAGAACGTACTCCGTGTAACTCTTTGCCCTTTCACCCTGAATTATAATTCAGGGGAGGATCCAGGATTATTTGAAGGGGGGGGAGGGGGCTCTTGGCTCTGGGTTCGGGGCCCGCAAAAATTTTGGTATTTTAGACGGTGAACGATGTCATTTGGTACGGCTTAGAACTATAATTAAGCTAGTCAAAATTCTAAGTTCAATAGGGGACAATTGGTGTTTTTTTTTTTAAGAAATGGAAAGAGGGGTCAAGAACTCCTGGCACCTCCCTAAACCGCCACTGTAATTATTTTTTCATTTTTTGCATTAATTCATTCACGTGTTTGTCTATCTATTTGTATTTTAGGTGCCCCTAGTCCCATTAATTCCCAGTTTCAGCATGCTAATCAATGTTGTACTTATGCTGCAACTGTCGTACATAACCTGGCTCAAGATGGCCGTTTGGGTGATACTAGGTGAGTATATATAAATATTGCAAGATCTTGTTGTACTAAAAGAAAAAGGTAAATAAATGATAATAATTTTAAAAAAACATACATAGAATTTTTGCCTAAGCTAAATGACCGTCACGCGACTCTCTCATGCAAAAGTTTAGCTGTTAAGTTGTTAATCTCCAAAGTACAACCTTGCAGCTGTATTCCTGAAGCATACCAATCAGTGTGATAAGGGCTTTACATTAACCTAGTCGATACAAACAAATGCAACATATGTAAAACATATGTGAAGGCGCCCCTAGAAATTTGACCAGCATGCATACACGTTTTTTTTCAGGTGTCATCATCTACTTTGGCTATGGGATGCAACACAGTGATGAGGCTCAACGACCCGACGTCCCCTTCCCGTATAACCTTTTAGAGACCCACTCAGGCGTCTCTTACTCCTCCCTGGGACAGACATTGATGTTACAACAACCTCCTAACAAATATCAGTCAGGTCACAGCCATGTGGACAAAGACCAGGGTCTTACTGAGTCGGACTCCATTGACGACATATATGACAATATTCAGGGCCCCGAAGAGCCTATTTTACCTCGAGTTGAGAGATAGTTATGACGACATACAGTTCTAGTAAACTATTTTACGTCATGATGTGTGGTGATTATGACGGCACGCAGAGTGCTGGGAGTCTATTTTACCACTGTATGTGAGATAGTAATGACGTCACACAGTGTACTCGGAGTATATTTTACCTCTGTATGTGATATGGTTATGACATCAAACAAATTCCGAGGAGTCTATTTTAACCTGTAACTACAATGAGTAGATTGAACCACAAATTTGTGAAATCTAAGACTGGGAATGTAATCTACATGGAACTTGAACAAATCCTTAAATTGTGCTTATGCAATCTGGATAGAAAATGGAACCCAGACTTTTCTCCCTTACCTTTTTTCATATTTCGTTATTCATCAACGTGAATGAATTGTTAGACGATTTTAAAACGTGCTCATTCAATATTTATGTTTAAAAGGATGATTCATGCATACGTAGCGTAATCCAGTGGTTTAGCAAAAAAACTGCGTTAGATGAGACTTATGTAAGAATTCCTCTAAAAAGCATTGGACACTGCAGTGCAATATTGAAATTTTGGTGCAACTGACGTCGTCCCGTGGGGTAGTGCAATATGGTGTGCAGCAAATTCATAACGATATGTAACTTACGCTATTTGTCTCTCTTAAAGATTTTATACTTTAAGGTCTTGCCGATTGATTTTGTCGTGTAGAAAGTTTGAGTATTCTGTAGTATTTTTTTTATCGTGTATCCATCATCATTTTATTGTGGCCCTTACTACAAATGACCTATAAATTAATGATTCAAGACAACTTATATTCTGTCATATAGGATACATTTACTTTTTGCCTGGCATCACATTTAGGGACCAAGGCTCACCAGGCCTCATTCCAAATGAAGCGTAGATCGGTCTACGTAGAACGACCCAACACTCGCTGAATGCAATTAGATTGACAGATCAACACCTCTTCTCTTGTTTGCAACGTACCCGTATAATCACCAGCATAACTAATCACCAGCATAACTAATGTGAACCCCTTTGCAATAGAATATAACGGAGGGGCTGGGGACGCGAGTTTGGGTCGAAAGTCATAATACCTTTTCATTATTAGAAGGAAACTCTCGATGTAAATTCAATAATCTATCTTTATTAGGTCTTTCTTTACACTCATAAAACTTGATAATATCAATAACATTACAAAAAGTAACCCGCACTTTGAATTTGGGCTCCTCGCTGAAAAATCACATACAGGTGTATCTTACAATATGAGACAAACATAAAGTAAAAAAACAAAATTACGGAAAACAAATCTTTAGCAAAGCTGATTTCAAATGACGCTAAATTAATAAAATCGGAAGTGAGAAAAGGAAAGAAATTCGTAAGTAGCTTGCATCATTTGACGTAAGACTTTGGTCTATCAGCTCTTCCATTTTCACACATGAAACATTCAGTGACGTCATCAGCGGTGGGACATATATTTGAAGTCACTCAAGCAAATGTATCCCAAATGACGTCATGTGTGTCCAGATTATGGCACTTGGGAATCTTCAGTGGTCTCATCTCCAGGAGACTGTGTGACGTCAGGGGCCTCTGTGGTTGGCTCTGGACATTCAGCTGGTCTCAGTTCTGGTGTGGCACATTTGGCTTGCAGAAACTCGCAACTGGAATATGTTTACGGTATATAAGTAAAGGTATTCAATACGTCTGATCTTTCTATGACAAAACAAGCGGAATTTACTGGACATATCAGCGATTTTTTCTTTAATCACCGTAGCCATATTGTTCAGAGGGTCGCGATTTTTTAGCCTGTATTCAAGCTTCACATTTGTAAACGTCTGCTTGTACTATCTAGATATTTCACCAATTCATATTCCCACTAGCTTAAATAAAGTTACTTTAAATGTGCAATTTTAAGTAACTTTAAGTAATTATTATTATTATTATTATTGATTTAAGGGGTTGGGTGCGAACTGGTTGATTTTCTGTATGTGGCATTCCCTCCAAAAATGATTACAGAATAAGTGACTGCAAATACTTACATATTATTATAGACACCTCCCACGTTGTCACAAATCTTCCTGGCGGGAAGAGCAGGGTCGGAGCAGTCGGCATTCTTGATCATCACACACAGTTCCCTCTTGTTAGGGAAAAGCGGTCCAAGGTCTGGGCGTTCATCTTCATCTTCATCCTCATCTTCGTCTTCATCTACCGGAGTTCCATCAGCGTTGCAATGGAAAGGCTTTTCTGCAGACTCCGAAAGAGGGCAGTTCTTCTCAAGATAGGCACAACTAAACAGAGAAATCAATTATTTATCGTTTAGTCATTACATATTAAATTTGTTAAAATTTCCTGTCATGTTAGGTTTTTTTTTCTACATAAGAACTGATTATACGGGCGAGGAAAGCAGATGCTTATAGAATTAGTTGGAACTGCCATAAATACAGGCAGATGGCATTATTTTGACTTTAAGAATCTTCTGGACCTAACAACGGTTAGTTATTATAAAACGTGTATTCTGGATTTTTCACAAAACCTTTACAGTGGTTAAAACTCAATTTTTTAAAAGTATTCCGTGAACTTAAGAAGTATATTAGTAGAAACATATGATGAATATAATTGAACCTACTAGTTTCTATACTGTTCTCCATCCTCGTCACAAAGCAGTTTCCCTTTGAGCGCGCTACAATCTACTTCACCGACATTATCACAGTTGAGTTTAGGAAATCTCCCAGATCCTTGTCCAAACCCACCGGGTCTGAAGTTTGGCTTTGCGGCAACAAGTGCAATAACTGGAATAATAGCCATAAGCGTTAAATATTGGAATGGATAAATTTTGATACTTTATTGAATAAGAAATTTAACAAGGTTACATGCCTATACGTCCCCGCACCGATACTCCCCCGCACCGGTAAATCCCCGTACCAATACTCCCCCACAATTACAGATATACTGAGGAGGAGTATCGGTACGGGGAAGTATCGGTGCGGGGGAGTATCGGTGCGGGGATGTACCGGTGCGGGGATCTGTCGGTGTGGGGTCGTATCGATGCCCATAATACAAACAATTACTAAGGGGGATTATCGCTGCGGGGGAGTATCGGTGAGGGGGAGTAATTGTGGGGGGGGGGGGGGGAGTATCGGTGCGGGGGAGTATCGACATGACCCCTTTAACAAGACCTCCATAAACCCCCTGCATTTTCTTTAGGATAAAACTATCGTCATCGCCGTGTAGTTACATTTAAACGTATTTTATGCTACTAATCACTGTATTTATAAGGGACTGAAACGTACCAAAAATAACCATTTCAAAATTGCTTATGTTTTTTATGATAAAGAACCCTGTTAAATTCCTCGTATCTGTCTGCATCTGCATGTTGCCTAAACAAATAAATGTCATTTGCATCTTACTTAAATGCCAGAGATTCGATACAAATACAATGGTAGCTTTCCCATCTGACTAGGATGGATGTTGTTTTTGAACGAACGTTAAACGCCAGAATAAGAGCATGTTACCACAAAGAACTAAATAAAACGAATTAGAAAAACTCTTACCACTGAAAACGGCTACAATGGTCAGTACTTTCATCTTGTCGGTATGGAACTAGCTTAAAAAGATGTTCGATGTTGGTAGTCTTCTGCGCTTTCCCTCTTCTCTTTCTGTAAGTACTGAATTGAAGTTGGAACCAGCTATTTATACAGAAATTGGAGACATATATTTAAAGTCGCTTCCGGATATTTTCGGAACGAGTACAGATAAAATCAAATTTGCGCCCAAGCCATGAAGGAGTGCTCGTCACGACACAATAGACATGACGTCAGCTAGTGAGATGAAGATATTGATTTCATAGCGTGAGAAAAGGGGGTTTTCTGGCATGTAGAGTGGTTCAAATGTCCACGTATTTTGTCCATATTGAATTTTATTGTTCACCTCTTGAAAGCACATGCGAAATGATGAAGATAGCTTCATGAAACACTGGTAGAAACAAGATTGCTAAGGATTGTTGCTTTCGGAAGGATCCACGCATGCCCCATGTAAATGTATGTAAATGGATCTTATCTGTGGACTATATTTACTGCACTATGGCGATCAAACTTTTGATACCCCCTATAATACGCGAACCGTGATTAAAACAATCCGCAACGAGCCGTGAGGGCCTGGAAGAGTCGACTGATGCGTATGACAGCCTGCACGCGCGTCTTGAAACAAAACCATGACGACAGGGTATTGTCATAAACTACATGTAAAAATACAAAATCATATCAATAACAATATGTGCTTTGGACGATGATTTACCCAGGATGGTTTTGTTATGATTTTCGTGTCGGATGAAACGTGTGAGATCACTGAAGAGAAGCTTTCCTTTAATTCTTCATGTGTTACAATGCTGTATTTAATGAATATTTTATATTTTTAGATAATACAAATGTTGTAACAGCTCTTGGTCCGCTGTTGTCGCACTTATAGCATTATTTCAACTATCCAGTAAACAATAATAATAATAATAATAATAATAATAATAATAATAATAATAATAATTAATTAATAAATAGATAAATACAATTAACTTAAATAAAGACTGCAAAAAATAATCAGTTTATCTCTTAAAGCAAAATAAAGCTGAAAATATGGCCAAAATGTCAGGAGTGTAACATTTTTCAGCTGCAAATGATTTCAACCTTATTGATATATTACATTAATTATATATCGTCTTAGCTGCTTGCTACCTAACGTTGTCCTTGCTGTTCATTGGCAAGAACTTTATTCATTTATTATTATTATTATTATTATTATTATTATTATTATTATTATTATTATATTTATTTTTTATTTTTTTGCGAAATTGTTATCTTTATATAACCGATTCTAAGATAATCTTTTAGAGCACAGAATTTACACTTGCACCAGAATTGGTTATGCCGGGTTGATCAATCACACCCACTTCCCTCTTTTACCCCTTAGTGATCAAAATGCACTAAATGCACAAAATGCACTTAAAAGACTGGGAGACGACCGTGCAGTGACCCTGTGTTTCTCCGACACAAAAATCAGAAAAAATAAACAAATAAATAAAAATTTAAAAAAAATGTGTAAACCAGGGTTCAAATCACAGCTTTTTATATTTAAATTCATTGATTGTCATAGCACATGATAAAAAAACCGGCTGTCCTTGTTTCAAGACGCGCATGCAGGCTGTCCTAATTACATGTAGATGGCCACTGGCCTTCACGGTTCGTTGCAGATTGTTTAACAAAGGGGGCATCAAAAGTTTATTCACCTAAGTGCGGTAAATATATTCCTATAGATAAGATCCATATACATATATTAACCTGAATCCAGGCCAAGATCATCCTTCTTTCTATAGCAACATTCCCTAGTGATATTGTTTCCGCTATAGCTTTATGAACCTAACTTCATCATTTTGCATGTGCCCCCAAAAAGTGAAAAACGGAACATAGGCAAAACAGGCCTACCCAAATACCAGAGTCGGCACCTAAGGATCCTGAATTAACCGGTATATCGGACCACGCTACCCGTTTTCAAGGTGTGTGTCAGTTCTCATTTCGGAGTATCATACCCCAGAACAAATTTTGTAGCACGACAGCGGGCTCATCCACGCTCGGCTGAACAACCTTAAACTGTACTCTTACTTTAGAGTACTCTTTTTTATTGTCTCTATGGAGAAATATGGGGACTTTACGACATTCGGTTTGAATGTTTTAACCACTTTTGATAGGGCTTTTTGCATTGTATTAGATAAATGTGGCAGTCTAAGGTTCATCTAGGTGGCTTTCAAAATTATGCACCCGGTTTTAAAATCATATAGCGATTTTACGACAATCGTTTACTATCCAATCAAGGTGACAGCGGAGCATGCCAGGGCTCATCCTGTCGGTGTTCTGGCTGATACTCCGAAATGCGATCTGACACACACCTTGAAAATGGGTAGTGTGGTCCGATATACCGGTTAATTCAGGATCCTTAGGTGCCGAGTCTGGTAGTTGGGTAGGCCTGCAAAAATGGTAAACATTTGACACTGCACAGCGTCGAGCTGGGGCTCCCCTCTTCGTCGTTAGTTGTTAGATTGCAATCTCAATATATGTACATGTCTCTCTGACGTCATGCCTCGTGTTTCAGGACTATCACTGCTCCACTTCTTGGACGCAAATTTTATCTGAAGTCGTGACCAAAAGGTATCTATGTATCCGTCTGTGTATCTGCACCAAAAGAGAACAGTACAGAAACTAGTAAGTTAATTATCTTCATCCAAGGTTTCATTTTAGATACTTCTAGAGTAAACGGAATACATGGGAAAAAACTCCAGTTTGTTGCGCAACGTGAAAAAAAATCTTTTTGTTCCGCAAAGTTTACTGAAACGTATCAACGTAGTTTTGGACAGACAGAAAAGTAAATATACGGTATATACTGGTCGATACTGGATCCAGACAACAACTGACATCAAACATGGTTCCCTTGGGTGGGTGGGTTGGGTGGGGGATATCACAGTTTAAGGAAATAAAATCTTCAATTCGCAAATCACAGTAATTAAACCTTAATTCATAAATCATTGAAAATGCAGGAAATATGAGTTGAAAAGAAAAGAAAAAAAAGAGAAAAACGGCTTCGTTTCACGAAGGGCTAAGAATAGAGAATGAAGAGCCGCATTTACGTGTCATGGGAACGGGGTGCTAACCTTTTAGAGACCCACTCAGGCGTCTCCTACTCCTCCCTGGGACAGACACTAATGTTACAACAACCTCCTAACAAATATCAGTCAGGTCACAGCCACGTGGACAAAGACCAGGGTCTCACTGAGTCGGACTCCATTGACGACATATATGACAATATTCAGGGCCCCCGAAGAGCCTATTTTACCTACTCAAAGCCAGGAGGACGCTTGTTCATTTCTTAATCTGATTTCATTAAGCGATAGTCCCCACGGTGTCGGACCGATCTACATAAATCGATTTACGTTTCATTGTGAAGCCCAATTAAGTTACTAAAACTAAAGTTCTTAATTTTAAAACTTCAATGGATGGTTACGTGCATTGCTTGCAGTTTCATTTATGAGAAATATAGCGTTACCTGAGAAGGCGTTCTGTGCCTTGGGAGGCATGAAAACAGGGAATTCCGGACATGTGAAAAGCGGAAGATATTAAAAAGCAAAATCATAAATAATGCGGACCCCTTTGCAATAGAACATAACAGATGGGTGACGCGAGTTTGGGTCTCGCTCGGGCAATTATTACTTAACAATTATTTAAAGTCATAATACATTTTCATTATTAGAAGGAAACTCTCGATGTAAATCCAATACATCTACCTTTATTAGGTTTTTATTTACACTTATAAAACTTGATAATAGCAATTACAAATAGTAACCCGCACTTTGAATTTGGGTATGTCGCTCAAAGATCACATAAATCATACAATATGAGATTTACAGGAAAGGGAAAAGGAAAAAAAATCGTAAGTAACTTCCCTCATTTGAAGTAAGACTTTGGTCTATCAGTTCTTCCATTTTCACACATAAAACATTCAGTGACGTCATCAGCGCTGTGACATAAACATGAAGTCAGTCAAGCAAATGTATCCCAAATGACGTCATGTGTGTCCAGCTTATGGCACTTGGGAATCTTAAGTGGTGTTATCTCCGGGAGACTCCAGGAGACGTTAGACGTGACTTGGAAACTCCTCTACAGCAGTGGACACAGCAGTTCAATATTGAAATGTGGGTGCAACTGACGTCGTCCCGTGGGGTAGTGCAATATGGTGTGCAGCAAATCCATAACTATATGTAACTCAAGCTATTTGTCACTTTTAAAGATTTTGTACTTAAAGGTCTTGCCGGTTGATTTTGTCGTGTAGAAAGTATGAGTATTCTATAGATACTTTTTTGTATCAGTCATCACTTTATTCTGCCTCTTACTACAAATGACCCATAAATTAACGATTCAAGACAACTTCTATTTTTCCAAATAGGATATATTTACTTCTTGTGTGCCATTCCATTTAGGGACCAGAATCAGGGCTCATTCCCAAACGTAGATCGGTCTATGTAGATCGATCCAATACTCGCTGAATGCAATTAGATTAACAGATTAACACCTCTTATTTTGTTTGAAATTATCACTAGCCTTTTTTATTCTGCTCAAAGCCAGAAGGACGCATTCTCATCTCTTAATTTGATACCATTGAACAATAGTCCCCACGGTGTTGGATCGATCAACGTAGACCGATAGTTGCATTGGGAATCGGCCCAAAGTAACTGTACTAAAACAATTTTTGACATTTTACAGCTTTAGTGGATGGTTACGTGCATTTCTTGCAGTTTCACTTATGAGAATTATACCGTTACCTGAGAAGGCGTTCTGTGCCTTGGAGGCATGAAAGCAGGGAATTTCGGACAAGCGAAAAGCGAAAGAAATTCAAAAGCAAAACCATAACTAAGGTGGACCCCTTTGCCATCGAACATAACAGAGGGACTAGTGACGAAGTATTAGACGCGCAAGGACAATAATTCCTTACAGTTATAAAAAAGTCATAAAACATTTTCATTATTAGAAGGAAACTCTCGTTATAAACTCAGTGCATGTATCTTTATTTCGTCTTTTCTTACACATANCCATTGAACAATAGTCCCCACGGTGTTGGATCGATCAACGTAGACCGATAGTTGCATTGGGAATCGGCCCAAAGTAACTGTACTAAAACAATTTTTGACATTTTACAGCTTTAGTGGATGGTTACGTGCATTTCTTGCAGTTTCACTTATGAGAATTATACCGTTACCTGAGAAGGCGTTCTGTGCCTTGGAGGCATGAAAGCAGGGAATTTCGGACAAGCGAAAAGCGAAAGAAATTCAAAAGCAAAACCATAACTAAGGTGGACCCCTTTGCCATCGAACATAACAGAGGGACTAGTGACGAAGTATTAGACGCGCAAGGACAATAATTCCTTACAGTTATAAAAAAGTCATAAAACATTTTCATTATTAGAAGGAAACTCTCGTTATAAACTCAGTGCATGTATCTTTATTTCGTCTTTTCTTACACATATAAAACTTGATAATATCAATTACAATGGGTTATACAATATGAGATTAAAAGAAATTAAATACAAAATTAGGGAAAACAAATATTTAGACAAGCTGATTTCAAATGACATGCTTAATTAATAAATGCGCAAGTAATAGAAGGAAAATTTCATAAGAAACTTGTATCATATAACGTAAGACTTAGATCTATCAACTCTTCCATTTTTCATAGATCAAACATTTAGTGACGTTATCAGTGCTGTGACATGAAAATGACTTCATTCAAGCAGATGTATCCCAAATGACGTCATGTTTGTCCAGCTTATGGCACTTGGGAATCTTCAGTGGTCTCATCTCTCTGGGCATTCAGCTGGCCTCAGTTCTGGTGTGGCACATATGGCTTGCAGGAACTCGCAACTGGAACATATGATGGTATATAAGTAAAGGTATTCAATGCCCGTCAGATTTTTCTATGGAAAAACAAAGTTAATTTTACTGGAAATATCAGCGATTTTTTTTTCTTTTATCACCATACTCATATTGTTGAGAAATTCAAGGTTTTTTTTAGCCTGCTTTCAGGCTCTTCATTTATAAACTTCTGCTTGTAATGTCTAGAATATTCGCCAATCCATATATCCATTAGCTTAAAGAAAGTGAAAATATGAAAATTTAAGTAATTTTAAGTAAATATTTTTGGGTGAGAACTGGTTAATTTTCTGTATGTGACATTCCCTCCAAAAGTGACTATAGAAAAAGTGACTGCAAATACTTACATATTATTATAGACACCTCCCATGTTGTCACAAATCTTCCTGGCGGGAAGAGCAGGGTCGGAGCAGTCGGCATTCTTGATTATCACACATAATTCCTCCTTGCTCGGGAAAAACGGTCTGCGATCTGGGCGTTCATCTTCATCTTCATCCTCGTCTTCATCGTCATCTACCGGCGTTCCATCAGCGTTGCAATGGAAAGGCTTTTCTGCAGACTCCGAAAGAGGGCAGTTCTTCTCAAGATAGGCACAACTAAACAGAGCGAGCAATGATGTAGTTTAGTTTTAACTAAATTTAACTAAATTAACTAAATTTAACTATTTAACTAAATTTAATGGAGTCATTTTAGATCATTTTTAAATTAAGCTGATAAAACTACCATAAAAACAGACAGACGGCGTTATTTTGACTTCAGTAGTCTTCTGGACCTAACAACGTTCAATTATAATAGAACGTGCTTTTTTGGATTTTTCACAAAACCCAATACAGTGGTAAAAGCTCAATTATTTTAAGTATTCCGTCAGGTTAAAAAGTATATTAGTAGAAACATATGATGAATATAATTCAACCTACTAGTTTCTGTACTGTTCTCCATCCGCGTCACAAAGCAGTTTCTCTCTGAGGGCGCTACAATCCGCTTCACCGACATTATCACAGTTGAGTCTAGGGAATCTCCCAGATCCTTGTCCAAGCCCACCGGGTCTGAAGCCACGTGGTCTTTTTGGCTTTGCGGCAACGAGGGCGATAACTGGAATAATGAGCACAAGCGTTAAATATTGGAACGGACAAATCTAGATAATTTTAAATTGAATAAGAAATCTAAGAAGACCCCCATATACCCTCTGATTTTTCCTTTGGATAACGGTATCGGTTCTTAGAAATCGTTTCCGCCGTGTAGGGACATTAAAACGTATTTCATGACACAAATCACTGTATCTAAAAGGGTCTGAAAGGTATCAAAAATAAAAGTCCTTATGCTTTTTATGATGAAGAATGTTATAGAATGCCTCGCGTTTTATCGGCATCAGTTGCCTCAACAAATATATGTAATTTGCATTTTACTTAAATGCCAGAGATTTGATACAAATACAATGGTAGCTTTCCCATCTGACTCGGATGGATGTTGTTTTTGAACGAACGTTAAACGCCAGAATAAGAGCATGTTACCACAAAGAACTAAATAAAAAGAATTAGAAAAATACTTACCACTGAAAACGGCTACAATGGTCAGTACTTTCATCTTGTCGGTGTGGATACTGGCTTAAAAAGATGATCGATGTTGGTATTCTTCTGCGCTTTTCCTCTTCTTTTTTTGTAAGTACTGAATTGAAGTTCGAACCTGCTATTTATACAGAAACTTGAGACATATATTTAATGCCAGATCCGGAATTGTTCGTAACGAGTACAGATAAAATAAATTTGCGTCCAAGCCAAGGAGGAGTGCTCGTCACGACACAATAGACATGACGTCAGCTAGGGAGATGAAGATATTGATTTCATAGCGTGAGAAAAGGGGGTTTTCTCGCATGTAGAGTGGTTCAAAGGTCTGCGTATTTTGTCCATATTGAATTCTATTGTTCACCTCTTAAAAGCACATGCGAAATTATGAAGATAGGTTCATGAAACATTGGTAGAAACACGATCGCTAAGGGTTGCTGCTTTCGGAAGGATCCACGTTTGCCCCTTGATCCATGTTCATATATGTAAATGGATCTTATCTGTGGACTATATTTACTGCACTATGGTGATCAAACTTTTGATACCCCCTCTAATACGCGAACCGTGACTACAACAATCCGCAACGGGCCGTGAAAGCATAGGGACGTCGAATGATGTGTATGACAGCCTGCACGCGCGTCTTGAAACAAAACTATGACGGTAGGGTATTGTCATAAACTATATCAACAAAATAATATCATTATAACAATAGGTGCTTTGAACGATGATTTACCCAGGATGTTTTTGTTATTATTTTTTGTCGGATGAAACTTGTCGGATCACTGAAGAGATGCTTTCCAGTTCACCTAATAATTTCCTTTACTTCTTTAATGGACATGTGCGTTACAAGGCTGTGTTTAATAAATATTTTATATTTTTAGATATTACAAATGCTGTAAAGGTCTTGAAATGTCGAACTTATAGCATTATTTGAATTATCCAGCAAATAATAATAAATAAATAAATAAATAAATAAATAAATAAATAAATAAATAAATAAATAAAATAAATACCGTGTATCTCTAAAAGCAAAATAAAGCTGAAAATATGGTGAAAAATGTCAGGAGAGTAACATTTTTCAGCTGCAAATGATTTTAACCTTATTAATATATTACATTATTTATATATCGTCTTAGCTGCTTGCTAACTAACGTTGTCCTTGCTGTCCATTGGCAAGAACTCAATTCATTTATTTTTACTTTTTTATTATTTATTTATTTATTTATTTTTTTTTTTTTATTCATTTATTTCTTTTGCGAAATTGTTATCTTTATATAACCGATTCTAAAATAATCCTTTAGAGCACAGACTATACACTTGCACCAGTATTTGTCATGCCGGGTTGATCAATCACACCCACTTCCCTTTTTTGATAAACATATGAACCGCACTGGGGCAAGTCGGCCCAAGCGTCGGGGCAAGTTTGCACCCTATACTAAAATGAAGTAAGTATCCCATGTAAACGCCTTGAAATACCCTTGATGCCCTATAGACATACTATATTCGATCAAAAGCTTATGAAAATAGATTTTAAAGTCTCTTTAATAAAATTAGGGAGCCTACTTTTAAGATGCTAAATTCTTTCATGTGGACTCACTGCCTAAATAAAACTTTTTTACGACCGACGCTTTCTAAGCATTATTAGTTTATATTGGACATGGTCACTTTACTAAATGATGTGATCAATTTTTACCCCATAGTAACCTTTTCATAAATTGGTGGTGGTGGGGGGGGGGGGGGGGGGTCAGGGGGGCAACTTACCACGGGGTCCAACTAGCCCCGGTATCCCCTATATAAACGTATCGTTCAATCAATCAATTTTTTTCTATATAGTTGTGCCTATCTTGAGAAAAACTGCCCTCTTTCGGAGTCTGTAGAAAAGCCTTTCCGTTGAAACGCTGAAATAAACTCCTCTAGATAAAGATGGACATGAAGAAGAAGGTGAAGAAGAAGATGAAGACGATCGCCCAGATAGCAGGCCGTTTTTCCCGGGACAAGAGGGAATTGTGTGTTCTGATGAAAAATGCTGTCTGCTACGACCCTGCTCTTCCCGCCAGGAAGACTTGTGGCAGCCTGGGCGGTGTCTATAATAATATTAATAATATGTAAGTACATACAGTTCATTTGAAATGATAATCCTGCAGTCACAAGCAAAGACACGCCCACACGTAGTAAGTAAATTGTCAAAATCTTAAAGTGGTTGCTACCACGAGCGGTGTGAAGAGTGAAGGCTTGCGTGAACATGAGAACATGAGCTTCCGTTTCCGGGTATTGAGGGGAGTTGTTATTTAATTTTATGAGCCCCTTGCAAATATTAATTTATTTATTTCTGCTGAGGTATATCTTAATTTTGTGTCTTACCGCTTACCCCATTTAGTTGAGATATTGGTAACGATTACAACACTTTTAAGTGAACAGCGATGTTAGGAAATTCTTTTCTGTAGGTGCAAGAGGCTAACACTTATACATGGAGACAAGGCATGGAGCAAACGTCACCCACTTACTCACTCACCCCATCAATTTCACTTATCTTCTTTTACATCAAATAAAGTTAATAAACCCAATCAGTGTTTATTCGCCCGTGAGCATGAACACCCGACACGAGCGAATCGTGCTGACCAGTACATATCTGTGCCCCCTTCATTGGCTCAGTTACGGTACTTTTCCGAGGAAGCTTCCAGCTTCATTTTTTCAACTAAATTCCCGCCCTCTTGATCCTGTTATATGCGCGTCATGATTTGCTTTTCCTTTTTTCCTGGAGGGAGGGGGGGGCACATACTTTCAGCCAACCAGAACCTAAAACCTACCACTTTGAAAAAGAGAGAAAAAAATAATAACACACACAAAAATTGAATTTGCCCAAATCATTTTATTCGTGTCATTAATTTGGAACGGTATAATTGACAAGTTTCAAATTTAATAACTCTCCTAGGAGAGAAAGAGATTAATGAATTTTACTCGTGACGGTTGGATTGTAGAAATTGAAAGCAAAGTCACGGAACAGGATTTTTTTCGTGAGTTTTGGATGTGGTGATAAAAAGAAAATCTATTTTGTTTTCCTTTATTAAGTTCTGACGGACATTGCATGCTCTTGCTTATATACCATGATATATTGCAGTTGCGAGTACCTGCAAGCCAAATGTGCAACAATGGGACTGAAGCCAGCTGAATGCCCAAAGCCAGAGTCCCCTGACGTCACACAGTCTCCTGGAGATGAGACCACTGAAGATTCCCAAGTGCCATAAGCGGGACACACATGACGTCATTTGGGATACTTTTGCTTGACTGACTTCATGTTCATGTCACAGCGCTGATGACGTCACTGAATGTTTCATGTGTGAAAATGGAAGAGCTGATGACCAAAGTCTTACGTTCAACAACGCCAGTTATTGTTATGGTAGACAAGATTTATACATTGATCTTAAATACGTCTCTCATTTTAATCAACGTTTTAATCGTTATCCCCGACTTGACATCTTATTTGGTTTTACATTCTGTTAAATTATTGTAATTTATGATTTATGTAATTTTATAGGTACGTGACAAATTCAAAGTACAGGCCAGTCTTTGCATTTGTTTATGTTATGGTTTTGATAAGGGATACAATAAAGAAAGAGTATATTGGATTTATGGCGTTATTTATCTTTTAATGGTAAAAAAAGGTTTATGACCTCTTATGATATCGAGGTAAAGAGGTGACTCGTATTTTCTTTACCACAATTCATTTTTGTTATAATTTTGCCTTTCCAATAAATTGCTTATTATTGGACAAAAATTCCATGCCTTCATTCAAGAAGTTGTAAAGAGACTTTATAACTTCTTGCTTCATTCAACTAAGGCAAACGACACATTTCAAATAAGGCAATATATTTTCACTAGTGAAATTGCAAGTTATAATGGCAACAACCCATTGATTTAGGAGAATGAAAAAATTGTACGTATCACAATAACTTTGAATTCATAATAATTACCACGAAGAACGGGAGTAAAGCCATCTATGGAGGTCACGTGGTCCAATGAAAATCACAGATTTCAAAATAATTGCTATAACTGCCGTTTTTTGGGTAAAATAATATACTATTTCTATGAGTTGTTTACAATGTATCTATTATGAAATATAGATCTCATACGAAGAGTTGTTTTCCCTTTATATTATGATTTACAGAAGACTAGATGTAACTACCGTAGACGTTAATCTTCATGTATGTGCCAAGGCACACATAATTCTATAAATTTTAGATGGGAGATTCCTTCGATTTCATATGGCATTACGGTCAGGGACAGTAAGGCTACCAACTTGTCATCATACATGTATCATGAATTTAAACACAAATGATACAACTTTACAGGCACATTTATTTCACATTATTCTCGTTTATTTATTTATTTATTTGAACTTTAAGGTTTAAAATTGTGATCAACTCGTCACTTTATTACAAAAGACAGCACTTTGACAATTATCTGTTATGCTGTTAGCCGCACCCTGATGCACAAACGATTAAAACTTGAATAAAGTTTGTCTCCTAAAATTGATTCATTCTCAAATTTAGAATAAAAATACAGGGAAACTCTAGGTTGTCGCTTGAAATCACTCACTATGTTTGCAGTTCAGTCCTTTACCTGGTGTATCTCCCAGCCCCAGTTTCACAAAAAAAAAAAAAAAAAAAAAACTTAAGTCTGGCTTAGTTGACTAGGGCGAGTATGGGCGAGTTATGGAATCGAGACGCTTGCACACGTGCGCAACATAGCGAACCTTTCGAGATACGGAGCCCAGGGCAACGTTTGCAACGTTTCCGTATAATCAACAGCTTTTTTGTACTCTACTCAATGCCATGAAGGCGTAATCTCTCCATCTGATTGCATTCATCGAAAGCAGGGAATTTCGGACGAGTGAAAAGCGGAAGAAAAATTATAAATCAAAATCATAACTAATGTGACCCCTTTGCACTAGCGAATACCAGAGGGGCTCTTGGCGAGAGTATGGGTCGCGCTCGGGAAATATTTGCCCAAAGATTATAAAATTTTAAAAGACCTTTTAATTATTACAAGGAAACTCTCATTATAAATTCAATGAATCTATCTTTATTATTTCTTTGCTTACACGTTTACATAACACGTTTATGTTATCAATTACAAAAAGTGACCTGCACTTTGAATTTGGGCACGTCGCTCAAAAATCATACAGATAATACAATATGACACTAATAGAAGTGAAAACAAAATTGGATGCAAATTTTTAGGGATAACGAATCTTCAGCAAAGCAGGTATTAAATGTTATCAGTCATGTTTCAAATTTCATGCTTAAAACAGACAAGTGAAAAAGGAAAAATGAGTGACTGGTTTCATTTAACCGTAGGACTTTGGTCTATCAGCTCCATTTTTCATACATCAAACACAAGTGACGTCATCAGCTCCGTGAAATGAACGCGAATTCAGTCAAGCAGATGTATCCAAAATGCCGTCGTGTGTGTACAGCTTATGGCACTTGGGAATCTTCAGTGGTCTCATCTCCAGGAGACTGTGTGACGTCAGGGGACTCTGTGGTTGGCTCTGGACATTCAGCTGGCCTCAGTTCCGGTGTGGCACATTTGGCTTGCAGGAACTCGCAACTGCAATATATCATGGTATATAAGTAAAGGTATTCAATAGGGCCTACCCGTCATATCTTTCTTTGGAAAAACAAAATGAATTTTACTAAAAAATACCAGGAATTTGTTTTATAACCATACTCATATTGTCTAGGAATTTTTAAGCCAGCTTTCAAGCTCTGTATTTCAATTGTTCTCTTTTACTGTCTAGATATTTTCACCAATCCATATCTCCGCTATCCTAAAAAGAGTTACTTAAAATGCGAAATTTTACTTGTCAATTATTCCTTGTCAAATCAATGGCACGGTCAAGGTAGATTGGGGTATATTTTTTTTAATCATTATTATATTTTTTATTATTATTTAAAGGGTTTGGGGTTGGGCGAGTACTGGTTGATTTTCTGTATGTGACATCCCCTCCAAAAATGACTATAGAATAAGTGACTGCAAATACTTACATATTATTATAGACACCTCCCATGTTGTCACAAATCTTCCTGGCGGGAAGAGCAGGGTCGGAGCAGTCGGCATTCTTGATCAGAACACACAATTCCCTCTTGTTCGGGAAAAATGGTCTACGATCTGGCCGTCTGTCTGGGCGTTCCTCTCTAGCTAGGGGACTTCCATCAGCGTTGCAACGGAAAGGCTTTTCTGCAGACTCCGAAAGAGGGCAGTTCTTCTCAAGATAGGCACAACTAAACAGAAAATTCAATGATTTATTGTTTAGTTTTTACATATATAAATATCTAACAAAACTTTCTGATGCTTATAGAATTAGTTGATAAAACTGCCATACAATCCGGCAGACGGCGTTATTTTGACTTCAGTAGTCTTCTGGACCTAACTACGGTCAATTATGATAACAAGTGTTTTTCTGGATTTTTCCTAAACCTTTACAATGGTAAACATGAAAGTACAATTCCGTCAACTTAAGAAGTATATAAATTGATACCTATGATGAATATAATTGAACCTACTAGTTTCTGTATTGTTCTCCGTTCTCGTCACATAGCTGTTTCTCTTTGAGCGCGCTACAATCCACTTCACCGACATTATCACAGTTGAGTTTAGGAAATCTTCCCGATCCTCGTCCAAACCCACGTGGTCTGCCGTCACGTGGTTTGTTTGGCTTGGCGGCAGCGAGTGCGATAACTGAAATAGTTACCAAAAGCATAAAGAAAAATAAATGTATTTAATTCGAAATTTCACGAGACCCCCTTATATGTAGGCTTACTCCCTGTATTTTGCTTTGGATATCACTTTTGGATTTTACAAATCGACATTGCCACACGGGTACATTACAAACATTTTATAATACAAAATCACTGCATATAGAAGGGCCTGAAACGTACCCAAAAATAACCATTTCAAAAGTCCTTAGGCTTTTTATGGTATAGAATCCTATAGGCCTAAAGGGCTTCGCGTTTATCTGCATCTGTAACCTTATCAAAATACTTAACATCTTACCTAGATGCCAAATATTAGAAATATGCAAAATGGTAGCACATATTTCATCTGTCTATGATGATTAGAGTGTATTTGAACGTCAAACACCAGAAGAAGAGCATGTTACCACAAAGAACTAAATAGAAAGAATTAAAAAAAAGAAAGAATAAAAAACGTACCGCTGAAAACGGCTACAATGATCAGTACTCTCATCTTGTCGGTATGGAAACTAGCTTTCTAATATGATCGATGCTGGTATTCTTCTGCTCGTTTTCTCTTCTCCTTTCGTAAGTACTGAATCGAAGTTTGAACCTGCTATTTATACAAAAACTTGGGACATATATTTAATGCCACATCCGGAATTGTTCGTAACCATTACAGATAAAATCAAATTTGCGTCCAAGCCAAGGGGGAGTGCTCGTCACGACACACGAGGAGTGACGTCAGCTAGGGAGAAGAAGATAGAGATCTTGCAACGATCAAAGAAACAAGGGGTGTTCCAGTTTGCAGAGTGGTTCCAAGTTTTTTGTATTTTGTCCACATTGGATTGAAGACCGTACAAAGTTCCAATTCTCTTCTGAAATATAAAAAAAAATGACATTGGATTTTCAAATTTTTTGTAAAATTTTGTAGCTTTCAAACAATTTAAGAAACGATGCTTTAGGGATGGTTGACTACTGGACTCTTTCTCTCTTCTAATTTTATTTGTTTGCCTATGTGAGAAAGAGCTAACAAAAATAATAAGAAATATAATCATATGTAACATCATTTTCCCGGACGGGGAGACTGTAGGTGATATACTGTATAAATAATGTGACCCACTAAAAGTCATAATTCGAATTTTTTTCAATGCATATCTCTAAGAAAGAATGGTGCATGTGTCCGTACTGAAAGAAAATGGGGGTCGAGTAGCGGTGCACGGGGCAAGCTGATCGATGCTGAGGGTTTTATGCAGAAATCAAGATTTATACGAGTCGAGTAGTATAATGTAGCCTAGAAGTCAGAGAATGAATATTCAGCTGTGTTATATTATAATAATAAATATTTTTCTAGATGCTCTGAGGGACAGCGGGATATTGGAGGTTAAAATAAATGTCAATTTTACCTACAAAGTAAAGAAAAATTACTTTATTCTTAACTTAGGATTATTTGGTTAGATGGACTTAGTTTGAGTGTGTTTTGATGACTGTTTCTATACTATTTTGATTTTATTAACCCGTAGTCGCGCGTTCTTTTTCGCAAGCATCTCTTTGTACCTGCACAACTACTCTGGCGTACAGTGCATCCAATTTAGCGAGTTTCTTTACGTGATTCTTAAAAAAAAACAACAACAACTACAACAACAAAAACAAAAACAGACTTTGATCAGCTAAACTACGTTGTGACACACAATTTTGCTATATGTGCCTTTTAGATGAATCAATTAATTACGATGACAGGCGACCGTTCAGTGATCCTGTGTTTCTCCGACACGAAAATCAGAACAAAAAATCTGGGTAAACCACGGTACAAATCGCAGCTTGTCATATTAATATTCATTTATTGTCAAAGCACATGATTAAAGAACCGACTGTCATAGTTTTGTTTCAAGACTCGCGTGCAGGCTATCATCATTTATTGACCTCGGGCTTTCACGGCTCGTTGCGGATTGTTTTAGTCACAGTTCGCGTATTACAGGGGGCATCAAAAGTTCGTTTACCATAGTGAGGTAAATATATTCCCACATATAAGATCCATATACATATATTTACGTGGATCCAGGGGCAAGACCACCCTTCTTTTAATAGCAACAACCCCAAGCGATATTGTTTCCGCCAGTGTTTCATGACCCTAACTTTATATTTTGCATATGTCCTTAAGACGTGAAAAATAGAACACGGACAAAATATGCTAGCATTTGAACCACTCTGCACCGAGCTAGGGCACCTCTTTTCGTAAATCGTTGTTAGATTGCAATCTCCATATAGGTTTATTTGTGTCTCTCTGACGTCACGCTTCGTGTTTCAGGACTAACACTCCCCCACGTCTTGGACGCAAATTTTTATCTGTTGTCGTGACCAAAACGTATCTATAAATATAAATTATGTTCACAATTTCTGTATAAATAGCTAGTTCAAACTTCAGTCCAGTACTTACAAAAAAGACGAAGAGAAGAGCAGAAGAATACCAGCATCGATCAACTTTATCGGCTAGTTTCCATACCAACAAAATGAAAGTTCTGATCATTGTAGCCGTTTTCAGTGGTAAGCTTTTAATTATTTATTTTAAACTATTTATCTATTTATTCTTTTATGTAGCGTGCTGTTATTCTAGTGTTAAATGTTCGATCACAACGTATTCATCCTAGTAAAATGAAAAAAATATACATATAGTTCAACTCTCAAACAGCTTAGCAAAATGCAAAATATTTTGATGAGATGCAGATGGAACGTGACGTATTTTCAATCATACAAAGTTGGGAACGTTAAAAATGGTTCTTCTGTTGCTCTTCACGCATAAGACCAATTTAGTCACATTAATTTATATATTCTAGAATACTTTTAAATGTGTTGATATAGAAATTGCGAATTGAAAAAAATAAATGAATAAAAAACATATATGCAGGTCTTATAAAATTTATATTACATAAAAAATCCAGATTTGTGCACTTGATTTTTTTAACCTTTGTGCTACTTTTTCCAGTTATCGCACTTGTTGCTGCAAAGCCAAACAAACCACGTGACTTCAGACGCGGTGGGTTTGGACAGGGATTGGGAAGGTTCCCTAAACTCAACTGTGATAATGTCGGAGAAGTGGATTGTAGCGCGCTGAAAGAGAAACAGCTTTGTGACCAGAACGGAGAACAGTACAGAAACTAGTAAGTTAATTATCTTCGTCCTATGTTTCACTTTAGATATTTCCTAAGTTGACGGAATTCATAGAAAAAACTTCGTCTGTTGTACAACTTTTACTATAGCATTGTTCCTAATTAATGAACAGTCAGAAAAGTTAATTTACCATTGGCTATTCGATCCAGACATCAACTGACACCTAAATGGTAGGCCTACCGTTGGGTGGGTGGGTGGGTGGGTAGGTGAGGGGTAATGGGGTGCCTCACATTTACCACGATAAATAATATAAACGTTTCACTTATCTCTGGAAATAAAGAAAGTTGCTTTCATGGGTAACGAAAATACCCAGTGGGACTCTCTTCAACATTACGTCGAGTGCAAATTTTCTGGCAGTTCTTTTAAGTGAATTCGGACGTATCTTCTCCCCTTTTGTCAAGCTACCTTAAAAAGACCTAACATGACTCAGACAATTTTGAAATGGTTAAATATGAAAATTTAATAACACATCGTTCAATCGATCAATTTTTTCTGTTTAGTTGTGCCTATCTTGAGAAGAACTGCCCTCTTTCGGAGTCTGCAGAAAAGCCTTTCCGTTGCAACGCTGATGGAAATCCCCTAGCTAGAGAGGAACGCCCAGACAGTCGGCTAGAGCGTAGACCGTTTTTTCCGAACAAGAGGGAATTGTGTGTTCTGATCAAAAATGCTGACTGCTCCGACCCTGCTCTTCCCGCCAGGAAGATTTGTGACAACATGGACGGTGTCTATAATAATATGTAAGTATTTGCAGACACTTTTTCTATTGTCATTTTTGGAGGGAATGTCACATACAGCACTCTCCCAACCCCTTAAAATAATAATAATAATAATAATAATAATAATAATAATAAACAGCCCAATCTACCCTGGCCGAGCCAGTGATTTGACCCGGAATAACTGACAAATAAAATTTCACATTTTAAGTATTTTTTTTTTAGCTAGCGGAGATATGGATTGGTGAATTTTTCTAGACAGTACAAGTTTAAAAATGTAGAGCCTGAATACAGGCTAAATATTGTGACTCTAAACAATATGGGCATGGTGATAAGAGGAGAACTGCTGATATTCAGTAAAATCTATTTTGATTTACTATTGAAAGATATGACGGGCATTGAATACCTTTACTTATATACCATCATGTGTTCCAGTTGCGAGTTCCTGCAAGCCAAATGTGCCACACCAGAACTGAGGCCAGCTCAATGTCCAGAGCCGACCACACAGTCTCCTGGAGATGAGACCACTGAAGATTCCCAAGTGCCATAAGCTGTACACACATGACGTCATTTGGGATATGTTTGCTTGACTGACTTCATGTTCATGTCACAGCGCTGGTGACGTCACTGATTGTTACATGTGTGAAAATGAAAGAGCTGATAGACCAAAGTGTTACGTTAAACAATGACCCCTTCTTTGGTTTATCTTTTTATGTATATGCACTTGAACATTTACTTAAAAACCAGTGTTCCTACAGATTCGTTATCCCAAGCCAACTTTGCATAATTTCTTTCTTTCTGTTTATTCTCGTAATTCCTGATTTATGCTATTTATATGGACGTGCCAAATTCAAAGTGCAGGACACTCTTTGTATTTAATGCTGTTAAAGTTTTATAGGAGCGATAAAAGAAAAAATAAAAATAGAACAATTAAATTTACATTATGTGTGTTCATTATGATGAAAAAGCCCTATGACTTTTTATGATATTTAGATATATATGGCTGGAGCGAAATACGTACTTTTGTTACCGCCCTTCTATTATATTTCAAAGAGAGCACATTTCTTATGATTTTGCTTTTTTTCAATCTTTCCATTTTTAAATGTTTTTTGTGACCACATTCAACGAAAAGAGCTTGGGCACCGTGTAACATTATAACTGAACGTCTGTGTGTGTGTGTGTCTGTGTTTGTGCATTCTTAGCAGTTAAAAAGTAAAATAAAGTTCAGTTCCACATGCGTCTTAGCGTGGTTTAGACGCCTGGTCACTTTTGGTCCTGATACGGACTGGGTGTTGACGTTCTAGACCCTCTTCGTTTCGCATTTAAAGGGCATGGGGATATATTTGTGTTTGGACATGCAGGCCCATCTATCCATCCATCCATCCAAACTTACATACATACATACACACACACATACATACATACATACATAATACGTACATTTTTTTTCCCTGTTAAGGACTGGGTGTTGACGTTCTCGCCTTCTCGAGGAGGGAACAGCCCAGCTGCTGTATGTAACGAACCAGACCCCTGCTTCAACCCCAACGTGCTTAGTGCCATGCAAGCGCAGAGGCAGCAAGTATCGTTTTGAAATAACTGATATGTCCCCGCTCGTCGTTGGTGCTCCGTAAGTGGAACGCCATCACTGTGCAAACGTTACAGAACTATTTGATTTCACGCACAGAAGCGTCAGGTACGTCCTCCAATAGAGGATACTGCACAAAATACCAAAATGTAGCTTTGATTTTTTTTACTATCGTTAGCTTATTAATTGATTGTACGATCAGTCAATTGTTGTGAAAAAATCTTTTAGAAGTTGAAAAAAGAACACTGATTCATGACGTGATTTTCTGTATCATTTTAAGCATTGCGTTAGGGATGACACTTTTTTGGTTGGGGAGGTTATGTATGTATGTACATGTATGTATGTATGTATGTATGTATGTAGGCTATAGGTTAATTCAATTGGGTTGAAATGCATCAACTTTTTTGCAGCTATTTCTTTTTTGGGACATTTCAAGTAATAGGGCCTCCATACTGAAAGTCCTCTCTTTAATGATACGATAGCCTTTCAGTGACAAAGGGTCAAAAACCTGTGGTGCTGTGTCAGACGTACAGGAGCAGGTGGATCGTACACAACAGACACGAAGACATCTTACAATATATAGACACATCAGCTTTCATAAGCCTATCTGGCACATTACTTGTATAATATATGTGCCAGGCTAGGTGCAAAGATAAAATGATATTTTTCTTCACTTTAATTGTTCAAGAAACTATCTACATCTGTTGGTTTTTCATAAGGCATCCAGCTTAGCAATATTAGGGACCAGGCTTCAGCACTGGTCGTCTCCATTAGCGTACAACCATGGCGATCAAGGAGATGATACCAAGATCGCTGTATCGTGTCTTTCACCCCATTCTCATAGATTAGATCGACCTACATTGGATCGACCTAACTCCCTGGGGGTTCACGCTAAATAGCTGTCAGCCGGGCGGACACGAAAGTTAATTACCCCTTAAAGCTTGTAGTAGGCGGGGACGGACACTTAAGGGGGATTATCTGACAGTAATCTAGTGAGACTCCCCGCGGTGATAGATCGATCTAAAAGTTGTGAGAACAGAGCCTTTGTCAATTCATTTGGGCATTATTTCCAGTCAGTGAGAAAGGTGCCGTAATCCATAGCTAGGATCCAGTAAATATGCATATTGTCCCCTAGGGCATGGTTAGCGGTAGAGAATCTTGACAGCTAATCTCCATTTTGTGGCCTGTATGAATATTGCCAGAGGCATAAATATTACAGGCATCAATGTAGCTGTTACACAAAGCACACCACACCATAATTTTGAAGTTTGTGTACTCGAGAAAATTGAAAGATTTATTTATTGTATGCTATCATTTGTATGTCAAAAGGTACATTTTTTTGTCAAATGGGTCCTGAGGTCAGGGTGACATTTGCTTCCAGTGGTTATAAAGTTCGATATTATTGTTGTTTGAAGGGTTAAAATCTTTTCATATTGGCCAAAAATGGATTTGCCTAGGGTAAGCGTCAATTTCTCCATACTAACAAATATTCTATGAATCAGTTCCAACATCCAAAGTTAGTCCCTGTTTTTTTTTAATATTATTTTTAAATAATTTCTTCAGATATGATTACAGGGACTTCACCCCCCTCCCCCAACCCCCCCCCCCCCCCATAAAAAACGCAGTTTTGTTGGTAAAATAGAATTTCTAATATGTTAATGGGTTGTTTACAATGTATTTATTTTGAGACATGGACTTCATATGTAGAGTTGTCGGCCCTTTAAAAGTAAGTCTAGGTATTTAGACCACAATCTTAGTTTTCTTTGACCAAATATCTATCTGTACTTGTCAATTTTAACGGCACTCTGTGTCCGCTATATATCAGGTACAAGAAAGATCATTCTCTCTCTCTCTCTCTCTCTCTCTCTCTCTCTCTCTCTGTGGACATAAATGAATTTAAGCAATCTGTTTAGTGAAGTACAATTTCACTTAATAGAATGACAAACTCTGTGGGGTTATTGTTAGGGTAGTAAATCTAATAATATACAGTTTTGGCAAATCTGTGTGTGTGCTAATTAGTATGCTAGTGATGATAGGCAG